GCTCTCAGGGTCAGCCTGGTGCCTGTTCCTGGTGCCAGGAGAGTTCACTGTGATGTGAACAGTTCTTTTCCTTCGACAGAGCAGGTCAGTGGTCAGTTACAGGTCAGTAGCATTAAACCATTTGATGTCCTGGTGTGTAACCAGCTGTTACCCCAGGAGGAGTGCTGGCTTCCACACCCTCAGTTACCACGAGGACTAGGCTGTCTAGGGGAGCTGTTTGCAGCCTGTTCATGGTGATTTGTTCAAAGCAGCTGAAATACTGTGCTGGGCAGAGAGCTCAGTGCTCCCTCGAGCCCCTCCTCCTTGCAGAGCCCCAGCATGGCATTACAGATGAGTCGTGTCAAAGCTCTCAGCCTCCACACAGAGTTACACGTTCTCCAGGGCACTGGGAACCAAGGAGCTGTTGCCTGTGCCAGGAGAACTCGTCAGCAGGAGAAGCTGCAGTCCATCTTAATGCCTGGCTGTGTGCAGGTGGGACTTGCAGCCTTGTTCTTGGAGGAGCTGTTCGTGTGAGGGTCCCTAGAAATGTGTTCTGCCTGCAGGAATTGTCTCCTTATCACCTGGTACCTGCTTCCCAGCTCTGCTTCCTCTCTTCTTCTCTGCTTGCAAAGCTGCTTGTGCTTGCCTTGTCTCTCCTCTCTGTACTTGTAAGATGAAGCAGGACTGTAGATGTAAACATGCCTGCCAACACTCCATCTGCAATTTGGACAGCAGTGTGAGTACTGCTGATAGGGCTGATGTGCCCTGGGGACATTCTCCAAGCACTGGAAAGAGGAGGATAACCCAGGGAAGAGATCCAGCATTTTGAGGCTGACACCCATTGTGTCCTCAGCTGCCTGTTAGTCTGGCAGGACTGGGGGTGGTGGGAGTGGTGTGGAGCTTCACAGTCCCTTTGGCACCCCCAGCTTGGACAACAGGTCCTGTTGGCAGGCATGGCTTGGTGCCCACCTCTGTCACCTGTCCCATTGGCCCCTGCCTTGCCCACCCCCCCCAGCCACTAGACTCTGAGCTAATCTGCTCTTCTGTCCCCTCTTTTGTGCTGCAAAGTGAGAGGGACCTCAGTGCTTGTGAAACACCCCAGGAGAAGTGTGTTGAGTTAGAAAACCCCAGTGGGGAGGAGGCTGCAGCCCCGGAGCCGGAGGAGGGACCGCTGGATAGCCTCGTGGAGCCCGAGGAGCTTGCTGCCCCACAGAACATGTAAGGGCTTTGTTCAGTGCCTGCTGCTGTGGTTGTGACAGCTTTTGTCCTGCTGTCCCCTCCGTGGGGCTGGAGCTCGCGTGTGAAGCCAGGAGCTGTGGGTTGGTGGCACAGCAGAGCTCCAGCAGCTGTTGCACTGCCTGAGTGCCAAGTGAGCAGTCTGTGCTGGGGAGGGTGAGAGCAGCTCAGCCCTCGGGGTCTGTGCCTCAGGACTCTCCTGGGGGCAGGTGGGGAGGGTGAGAGCAGCTCAGCCCTCAGGGTCTGTGCCTCAGGACTCTCTTGGGGGCAGAGAGAGCTGTTTGCTTTGTCTTTGGGAAAGCCTCTTCTGTACCAGTGTCGCTGGCAGGGCTGTGACATCCACCCTCCCTGGTAAATGGCTCCACACAGAGTTTGCTTGGGGGGGGACAGCAAAGCTCCCCAGTTTTACAGCCACTGGGGACGTGGTTACTTTGAGGTGATGAGGTCAGAGCTCAGGGTGTCAGAGCTCTGCTTCTGCCCAGGCTCCTGCTCTGTGCTGCACTGTTGCTGGTCTTTGTGAATTCATACCTGAGCTCCTCTGACAGAGGATCTCAGTAGATGTGATTGTGCTGACTTTGCATTCTGTGTCAAATGACAGATCAGCAGATGCAACTGGAAAAATCAGGCAGCCTGTCTCTGGGGACAAGGTGGTGGAGAAGGAATCTGCTGTGGAGACCAGCACGTGTCTCCCCTGTTCATTAGGGATTTGGTAGTGTAAATGTGTGTGTGTTGGCTGAGTCTCCTTTGGAGCAACAACAAAGGAAGAAGATGCTCCAAAGGTGGAAGTGGCTCTGCTCAGGGCCACCTGCTGCAGGAGGCAGTATGGGCTGCACCAGGAATGCAGGATTTTCCCCCACTACTCTTTCCTCCATCATGTTCTTTTTGCTAATGGCTGCAAAGTGACCTTTTCTGACTTGAGGCTGTTTGACTGGGGCTGTTATCTCCCTGATTCCTGGCAGAACAGAAGTCCCTCTGCCTTATGCTGCAGCCTCACAGCACGGTGAGACCTTCTTGCTCCAGCTTGCACTAGCAAAGCACTAACATTTTTCTTCCTAGACTAATCTCAATTTTCCCCTCCTTCCCCTTCAGCCTCTCCCAGACCTTATAATTTTGCTGCTGTCTGTCTGAAAAAACCCCACTTAATTAGAACCAGATTGGGTTTGGATTTTTGGAGCTCTGAGGCTTTCTGTTGCCTGGAGCTGGCAAACCCCCAGCACACTTTAGGTTGCAGTTGCAGAGAAATACCTGGTCCAGGAGAAACTCCAATCCCTGGGCTGGGAGCAGGGACTGATGGCATCTGTTCCTGTGCCTGCCAGCCTGGCCAGGGTTTTGTAGCTCCTAGATCATGAAGGGAGGCTGTGTTGCCCCTCACAAGGTGAGCCCTAGGGGACCAAATCCTGAGTTATTCAGGCCTGGAGTGCTGCTGGGGCTGTGTGTGCTTTATCAGTCAGAGCTCCTCTGGGAGTCAGCTAGAGCATCCACCAGTGGTGGACCTTGAGGTCAGCAGTGAAGCTTCTGGAAGAGATGGCTCTGAGATTCTTGGTTTGGAGCTGATACTATTTGGAGGGTGTTCCTGTTCCTTTTGTGTTACTGTTTTCTGTCACCCCTTTGCCAAAGGAGCTTTCTCTCTTTGATAGGCAACCTGAGAAGGAAACTGAGTGTGAACAGCCCTTGGAGAAACCTAGTGAAGAATCTCTGGAGGAAATAGCCAAGGAGGTGGAGGCAGAGCCTGAGCAAGAGGAAACACATTTATTTCAAGCAGAGAAGGAGAAAATTCAGCAATTCCAGGAGGAGGTGAAGCAGGAGGAGGAGGGAGCCGAGAAGGTTCATCAGCAAAAAGAGCAATCCCTCAGGTACTTGTGTTTTCCACTCATCTCCCCAGAGCCTGTCTGAGCTGCAATTTCATTGCTGCTGGCCACAGACTCGTGCTGTTGTAGCCATCCCCGTGGCAGTGGTGCTGCCTTGCAGAGGTGTGGGGAAGAACAAGGCTCTCAGGGAGGAGGAGGAGTGCAGGACTGCCTGGCACAGACAGTGCTGTGTGTGAGGATCTGCACATCTTGGGATGGATTGTGCTCTGCTGTCAGCCCCAGGAAAGGGCTCTCCAGCACTGACACCTCCTGCAGGATGAGCTGTGATTCCGTGCTCACGCAGCTTTCAGAGCTCTGAACCTGTCTGTTATGGTTAACCTGGGAGAAGTTTCCAGTTCAGTGCTTGGAGCTTTACCATCTGGCAGGTGTTCAAATCCTGGGCTCAATGGCAGTAAGAGGACTGGAAATTGGAGCATTAGAGGAGATGAGGTTACCCCAGAGGAACTATCTGAAACTCTGATGCTGGATGCTTTACAGAGGGATTTCCAAACAAGGCTTCTAGGAATAGGGCAGGGATGGCTGTGTGAAACCCAGGACTTGTTCCAGGCCGGGTTGGATGGGGCTCAGTAACCTGGTCTGGTGGGAGGTGTCCCTGCTCACAGCAGGAGGCTTGGAACTAATGGTCTTTATGGTCCCTTCCAGCCCAAACCATGATCTAATAGCACAGGGAGTGGAACAGCACTGGGAGCCTCCTGACCCTTTTCTTTTCCTTTCTGGTTACTTGTCTCTCAGGACTCCAGAGGAAGATTTGGCAAAGGCTTTTGAGGAAGAGTTGCCTGTCAGAGAGAAAGAAGCTGAGAGACTTGCAATGCTGAGAGCAAAAATCACCTCAGAGATTAAGGCAGAGGAGGAGAGGATGAGGTGAGAAGTTCTGCTGCCATCTCTGAGGATATAAAATCTGCAGGTTTGGGAGGGAAGGATTTTGCACCTCCTGAGCCTCCCATAGCTGCTTCCCTGCCCTGGCAGCAGGTCTGAGCCCTGACTGTGCAGTACTGAATCCTGACCTCTGTGTTCTTGCTGCACACCTCCCAGGGCAGAGCAGGAGGCCACGCTGCAGAACCTAAGGGAGGAGTGGGAATCCCAGCAGCTGGCAGAGAAGGAGAGCCTGGAGAGGACACAGCGCCTTGCCCTGGAGAAAATGAAGCTGGAAATGGAGGAAGCCCAGCAGAAAGAGATGACTGAGCTAGAACAAGAGAAGGAACAGTTCCTGAGCGAGCTCAGGGAGAGGTTAGACAGGGAGAAGAAGAAGGTGAGATCTCTGGGTTCCTGAGCACTGCAGGGCTGAAGTGTGGAGATTAACTCACATCTGCACATGCTTTAATAATGGCTCACCTAAGCAGAAAGGGAAGATGCCAGGTGGGCACATTGGGGCTGGGAGAGTTCCTCCAGTTGTTATTACACTGGTCTTTATCTAGCGGTTATTTAAATTTGCACTTTGCATCCGAAGACAAGAGGAGGATCACTGTGTCTCCAGGCTAAACTGAGCCCTGTTATCAGCTCTTTGGCTGCTGCTTTAGTCCTCCAGGGACCTGGGGAGTCCTTGAATGGAGCAGTTCTGAGTCCTTCCAGCACAGCTTGATGGAGATCCGTGGAGATCTCCTGGGAGAGAAAGCACAGAGAGAGTAAAGGCACCTTGTGCGTGCTGCAGTTTGAAAGGGAGTTACCTTTGTGCTTTTTGCTGCTTATGGACAGAAGTTAATTGCAAATGCATCTTGTACAGGTATGTCCCCACACACAGAGGTTTCCCAGCAGACTGTTTTGCTTGTTTCTGTAGGCAGCAGAGGAGCTGGAGGAACAGTTTGCAAGTGAGCTCCAGCAGCTGAAGTCTGCAGCAGAGGAGAAGCATCACAAGGTGAAAGATAGTGTCCTTAGAATGTAAATTGTTGGGATCCTTTTCCTTACACTGTCACCAAAGGTGGCCAGGGAGGGTGGCATTAATTTTTTTCCCTTCCCAAACGTGGCTGTGCTCTGGCTCAGCGTTTGGCTGTGCTCCAGGCAGGGGGTGGTGAGATTCAGAGCTCGGGCTCTGTGGGAGGGCACCCAGTGGATCCCTCAGAGGGGTGATGAGTCTCCGTGGGTGGCTTTCATGGCAGGTCATTTCCAGCCTGCAAACCCAGCTGGCAGAGGCACACAGGAGCAGGGAGGCTCAGCTGCATGAAGACTTGGAGAGAGCAGACCAGGAAGTGCAGCAAAAAGCCTTTCAAGTGAAGAAATATGAGCAGCAGGTGAGAATTCCTTCATCCTCTCTGTGCAACAAGGTCTGAGAGCCCATGTTCCCTGCCCAGGGGTGATGGTGGTGCTTTAGGGGAGAGGACAGCATCTCACCTCGCTGGGGAACTGCCTTTGTGCCTCTCAGGTCACATCTCTCCCCACTCTGGACTTCAGCCCTTGGGAGGTTGATTCTTGGGGGTTCACTCTATGCAATGCTGTAGTTCAAAGGGACATCTCTCCGTGTCATCCCTGCAGCTCAGTGAGCTCATGAGAGAGAAACGCCAGGAAGTGGAGAAAGACCACGAGGAGAAAATGGAGAGGATGCGCGAGGAGCACCGGGAGGCCCTGGCACGGCTCCGGGAGCAGCACGAGGAGGAGGTACAGCCAGGCTGGGAGGTGGCTGTGGTCAGGTGTGGTGGGTTGGCTTTCCAGAGAGTCCTGTGTTCCCTTGCTGGAGAGCTCTGTTCGTCACTGGGGTGTTCTCCTGTCCCCGGGCAGGAGCGGAGGCAGAGGGCTGAGCTGCTGGAAGGGCTGAGGAGTGAGACCTCGCGCCTGCGGCAGCTCCACGAGGCCGAGGTGAAGGCTCTGCAGGCAGAGCTGGAGGGACGACTCGCTGCCCTGCAGCACAGGCACAGGGAGAAGGTGAGGAGCAGGACCTGCCTCTGCTCCCTGTGACTTGGCTGCCGGGGATGGCCTGGGAGCCATCGTGCCCTGCCACCCCCCACAGCCCAGGGTGCAGGTCTCCCTCCCCAGTTTGTGCTGCTCCTCCTGTGGCAGAGCTCTGCTTGGTGAGGGAGGAGCTCGTGCTGTTCTCTTCAACTCAGCATCTCTGTGCAGGAAAGAGAACTCCAGGACTCTGAGAATGAGCTTGAAATACGCACAAAGCACGTCCAAGCCAGATCAGGGCAGCTCCTTAGCCAGGTGAGTTGGCCTGTCGGGCTCACAGAGGTTCCCAAACCTCTGCCAATCCTTTGGCTGTTTGCTCACGGGGACCTGTGCAGAAATGCTCAGCCAGGGCTTGTGCTGCCCCCCAGGTAAAAGTTCCATTACAAGTCAGAGCAGGGCTAAGCATTCCTGGTGGTACAGACTCTTGGCTGGTGTTTGCAGTGGAAGTCTGAGCTCTGGGTTTGCTCAGTGCTTCAGGGGGGACTGTGAGTGGCTGTGAGAGGGACAGAGATCATAAACTGAATCTGACAACGGTTCTTGGGTGTTTTGAAAGGGTCTTCAGACTCAGTCCTGAGCTCTGTACTTCAGGTGCTGCTCAGCATCAGCAGTGTCCTGGCTCTGACACTCTCTGCTTCCTCACCCGTGCACAGGAGGAGTCCCTGAGAAAGAAAAGGCAGCAGATGCTGGATGAGGACAGACAGGCACAGCTGGAAAGAGATGTATGTATGCCTGAGCCCTGGAGAGGAGCTGTGCTGCTTTAGGGGCTGAGCACAGCAACACTACAACTGTGGCTTTGAAAAAGCAAACTTGCTTCTAAATGGTGAGGCTGAAAATGCCTCCCTGCCCCAGCCTGGAGTGCATCCTGCTGGGAGGGGGGCTAGAATCATAGAATCATAGAATTTTAGGGGTTGGAATCCAGTTGGATTCTCTGGATGATCTAGAAATCATCCAGTCCCACCCCCCTGCCCTGGGCAGGGACACCTCCCACCAGAGCAGGTTGCTCAAGGCTCATCCAACCTGGCTGTGAACACTGCCAGGGTTGGGGCATCAGCTCTGAGCTGTTCCTCAAAGAGAAGAGACAGTCCTGTTCTTCCAGGACTGGTGTGGGGGGGGTGTTTGTAGCTCTGTGAGCTGTGCAGGTAATGAGCTCTCATGAGCTCTCACGTGCTGTTTACCTCTTGTTTTGGCGTTGGGGGAATTCCTGTGATGGTTTTGTTGGTTTTCTGCTAGGAAGCTGCTCTGGCTTGTCAGCTGCGCCTGGAGGAGAGCAGGAGGGAGCATTCCAGCCTCCTGGGGTCCATCCGGCAGCTGCGGAAGTCGCTGGAGGAGCTGCAGGACCAGAAGGCTGAGCTGGAGGCACAGGTTGACGTGCTGCAGACCCGGAGCCAGAGGCTGCAGAAACGCATCGGGTGTGTGCCAGAGGTTTCCTCCAGGACCAAACAAACCCACCCTGTGCCCCTGACCTCACCTGTACCTCTCCCTGACCCCTGAGCTCTCTGGGTGCTGGGCCACATTCCATGGGAATTCTGATGGTGGATGTGGTGCCTGTGGGTGCAGAGGTGCTGAGAGCAGGTTCCAGGTTATCAGTGACTCCCTGTGTGACTTTGTCCCTTGGCCTCTGCCTGTTGAGTTCATTTCTCTCCTCCACACCTCCTTGTGAGGGTAATGGGGTGCTACAGGGGCACTGAAATGCAAAGCAAAGATTTCCCTGGGATAGCTGAGCTCCTGGGGGTGGGTGGGAAGCAGTTCCCATGCCCAGCCAGGGGATGTGTATGGCATCACACCCAACACTGGCATTGTCTTGCTCACCTGTGGCCCTTTCTCTCCTGGAATCTGGAGGTCACTTTGGACACCTGTGCAGCCAGGATGGGCTGCAGCCTGATCAAGTTGTTTTTTCCTGTGGCAGTGAGCTGGAGGAAGCAATCAGGAGCAAGCAGGAGGCTCTGAAAGAACTGGAGGCAGAAGAAAGTGTGGAATCTCCAAGAAAGAAACCTGAGCTCCACATTGAAGACCTGAGAGAAGCTACTCAAGCTGTGAGTAAAGCAGTCTGTGAAGGTGTTTGCCATGTGAGATCTGAGGCTGTAACTCCCTTGAAAATCCCAGCTTTTGTTCCTTCTGTGTGCAATGATTTGAGAGGCAGGGATGCATTTCTTTGCCAGGGACATCAATGTGTTCTGTAGTATTTGCTGACTCCTGTCTGTTGTTAGTGGGTGGAGTGAGGGATACTGGAGTCAAAAGCAGGGCTGGAGTCAGGATAGAAATGTACTTCCTACCTACAAAAGTCATGTGAAGAGCATCCCAGGCACTGGGTTTGGATCTGGGCAATGCCGTGGTGATGTCATTATGAATTTTTGCTCCTGGTCGGATCTTGGGGGGGTTCCTGGGACTCTTTCTGTACATACTTACTAGCTTTTGCAATGCTTCACCTCCTCAGCACTCACCCAAAGATCCTGCCTCCCCAGCCTCTCACAGCCACGAGGAGGGCGACCTGCAGTTCGATCAGTGAGTATCTGTGTGCCAACTGCTCCTGGGAAATGCTTTTCCTCGGGTTTTCCCTGGGTTTACACACAGTGCACTGACAGCCCACGTATGGGAGGTGCTGTGGGAGGTGTGCAGGATGGCACAGGCAGCCAGGAGACATTGCTGCCTCTTCCCTGCAGCCTCAGGAGCTACATCTCCGCGGAAGGGATCTCCCTCCGGAATGCCAAGGAGTTCCTGCGGCGCCACACGCGCTCCATGAGGAAGAGGCACTCGGCGCTGAAGGCTGCGAGGCTGCAGTGGCACCAGGATCTGCAGGAGGCTGTGAAGGATCCTCAGAGCTCTCAGCTCCTGGAGGGTGTGCGCCAGAAGCTGGAGGAGGTGAGTCCTGGGCACTGCCAGGTGTTGGGTGTTGTGGCTGCACAAACCATCCCACAGCCCTGGGCTCAGTTCCTGGCTCTTCCTTCCAGGGCTTGGAAGTGAAACCTCCTCCTCCTTGGGCTGAACTTGCTTTGAGCCATGTGCTCTGCCCTCCACACACTCCCCACTCCCCATGCTCTCGAGGATTTGGGAGCAGTTTCACTCCAGCACAGCATTTCCTTTGCTGGGCAGAATTGAGACACTGAAAGTCACCCAAACTGCTAATGCAGATTATTTCCTGTCGCTCTGGTTTGATTTGGCTGTTGATCCACTGCAGGAAGCAAAGCAGTTGAACAAGATGAAGTCAGCCATGCAGAAAGGACAGGTGTTGCTGAAGAAGAAAGAGGAGAAGCTCAGCCAGCTGGAGTCCTCACTGCTGGAGGAGGTAAGCACAGCATCGTTCCCAGGGTCTGCCCAAAGCTCTTGGCCTCCTCTCCCAGGCTGGAATCTCTGCAGGGCTTGTGGTCCCTGTGAGGGCTTTCAACTGGTGGCCAAAGACTGATGTTTGCCAGCAGAGTTGGATTTTGGAAGCACTTCCTGTGAGAGCACAAGAGGCTGTTGAGTGTGTGGCTGCAGCCTGGAAAAGCTGCATGATTTGAGCCTGGAGAAAACAAGGGCAGGTCTCCTGGTGTGAGTCTGCTCTCCTGACCAAGGCAGGCCTTGGAATCTCTGGCTCTGCCTGGAACCACATGGCCTTAAGCAAGGCAGCAGCAGATGCAAGAGCACAAGACCTTTGATGGTCAAGCACTTGCCCTTGGTGCAAAGAGCCCAGCAAGAATTGTGAGGGTTATTTAAAGCACAAAACATGTTGACTTCTGCCCAGAAGGGCCAATTCACGTGGCTGCTCAATTGGCCTCTAGCACTTTCAGAGCCCAGGCAGCCTCTTGGCATTCAGATTTTGCTGTCAGGGACTGAAGATGAGTCTGGCTTGTTTGACCTGTGCTTGGCTGAGTTCAGCCTGTGTAGACAAGCTGTAGGCAATATTCCAGGGGGTTTTATGTTTCAGGGACAATACAGCAGGTTTTATTGGCATTGTTTTCCTCCTGACCAGCTCTCAGATGAAGATCCAGTGGAGAGTGATACATGCAAGAAGATGGTGACTTTTGATCTAAGCAGCTCTGACGACACAAGCAGCTCATCCAGTGTGAATCCGTATCAGACCAAATGTAAGTGCCTGACTGGCTCCATGTGCAGTTCCCAACAACTGAAGCTCTAGACCTGTTCTGACTTTCCCTCTCACCTCTGATGTACCTGTTGTTCCTACCTGTGCTCAGTAGTGTCTAAGGCAGGTCTGGTCCCCATGGCTGGGACTGCTCTGTGTATGACACTTGACTGGAAAAACTTGTTTCCTGCCTGTAGTGGCAGAAAAGAGAGATGAAATCTGTGCATGAATTTGCTGTTTAAATCTCTGTGGATTATAAAATCTGGTTTCAGCTCTTCCCTCTGCTGTCACAGAGCTGTATTGCTCCTCTGCAGGAGTCTGGGCTTCCCCTTCCTCACATCCCTGACAGGGGAGGCTGCTGCAATTCTCTCTGCTGCTTGTGCTGTTTGTTGGCCTTTAGTTGCCTGGAACTGGAGTTGTGCAGGAAGAAGAAGGGCAGGAAGACAGGATGGTTGGGTTGCTTGCAGGCTGCTCTTGCAAGGGCTTGCTCATGATCCCTTTCTTCCCCTCTCTTCTTCCAGATGATTTGAGAATGGATTTACAGCCTGCCCCTCAACTGGACATCCAGCACTTGAGGGACTCCCTGCAGTGCATCAGTGGAGAGGTGAACAGGGTCATGGGTGTCCTGGACTCCCTGAGCCATCACCAGTCTCCTCTCCTCACCTCGAGACCACGGGATGGTATCCCTCTTTCCACATACTCCTGCTTGGCAGGTCTGCAGGCAGGCAGCTCCCTGGGGCCTCCCCCCAGGGTGTCTGCCATGGACCAGTGGGCCCAGAGCACTGGGCTCAGCTCTAGTCCCTCCTCAGGGCAGTCAGTGGACAAGATCCTGGCAGAGAAATGGCACAGATATTTCCCAGGTAATTCTCCTCTCCTTCATCCACCTGCCTACAATTTTTGATTCCTCAGCCCTGCAAGTTGTAACTGTCTCACCTTTCCAGTGCTGGAAGGGTGGATGCACTGGTGCTGCTCATGGGAAGGGTGCTAATGGGATAAGGAATGAGAAGCTCGTTCCAGGAAGTACAGCTTAAGGCTGATCTTGTCATCCTGCTCTTTAATACACCCCCCAGAAAGCAGCTGTTCCTAAAGCAGGGAACACGAGGGGAGACAGCTCTCTTCCCTGGGAGCCTCCTCTGAATGGCACATAGGGATCACCATCTCTGGTTCCTTTACTCCACCGTGTCCTTGGCAGGTGGCTCAGCTCTTAGGGACAGTGTGACCATGGCACAGGAAAGCAAATGCACCCAGATATCAAGACTCTTGATTTTTGAGGGGTCTGTTCTCAATGTCTGTTTTCCAGGTGGGTTCCCATCACTCAGTAGGAGTTCCAAGCCTCTGGACAACAAGCTAGGATATGTCCCTGCAGTGTAAGGGTCTTCTTCCTTGAGTTTTCTTTCATTGTGCTGCTGGAATTATCTCTGAAATAATTATTAGGTCACCTGCATAAATTATAAGCTGCATATTAAGTAGATGTTATCCTCTTAGTTGCTCACTGCCACGTGCTCTGCTCAGGGGGTTGGTTTTCTTTGGCAGCATCACTTTCTCATCTCTGGGATCATTTCTGCCCAGACCTCTTTTTCCCCACTTATATTGTTTCTCTCTGGTGTGCCACAGGAAACAAATCCAGCTGCTCCAGCATTCCCAGTTCCATGAACCAGGGAAGATGAGCATCGAAGGAAGGATTGAGAGCAGCAAGAAATGGCTGGAAGAAGTCAAGAAGGATTCAAAAGTGTATCCTTTACCTGGATCTGGTCTTTAATTGCATCCCTGCTCCCTGCAGCAGGCAGGAAGGGGTGGCACAAGGTGAACTGGGGGCACTGAAGTATTGATCAGCAATTTCTTGAGGCCTTGGCCTCTGCTTCAGTGTCTGGTGTTGCACAGGAATTGGTGTCTAGCAGAGTGACCTGGTGGCTGCTCTTTGAGTTGTACTTGACTGAGGTCTCCTCCCTTTCCCTGGCTGTGCTGTGATGCTGCTCTGCCCTGAAACAGCAGCTAGAGCTGGTGCTGTGAGGATTGAAACACATGAACCAAACAGTGCAGACTGGAGGGGGTGGCAGGGAAGAAAGAGGTTTGCTCTTGCAGACTTGCTTCTGGGGCCAGTGATAGAGGCCTTGGCCCTGCTGAGCAGCCAAGGATGAGGTGAGGGCACCTGGAGACACATGGCCATGGCACATGGGGTGGCTGTGAGGGCTGTGCTCCCCCTGCACCTCTTCTGCAGCTCAGTTTCAAGGCATCTTGTAGCATGAGGTTGTGCTCTCTGTGCTGTTCTCAGGGATGCTCCAGGCTGTGTGTTCCCAGCCTTGTGCTGGGGCTGTCAGTGTCTCCTCCTGCCTGTGCTGCTGTCAGCAGTGAATCCCTGGGGCCTCCGTGCTGTCCTGCTCGGCGTGTGCTGCTGAGTTCCCTAATCCCCTGTAATTCCATTTGGCTGGGATGCAGCAGGATAAATCCAACGTGTGTGTGAGGCTGGCCCAGTACCTCGGTACC